CACCTCAATGAAAGGTAAAACCCATGGCTTTGACCGGATTTCTTACGACTTGTTAAAAAATCTTCCAGTTGGATTTAAATCTAGACTCTTGGACCTTTATAATAACATTTTCGATAAAGGTGTGTACTCACAAACTTGGAAAACTGTCACAGTCGTTCCTATTCTCAAGCCTAACAAGCGAAATACATCCATTTCAAGCTACAGACCCATATCCTTAATTCCCTGTATGTTAAAGGTGATCGAAAAAATTATTTCCAAACGCATTATGTGGCTCGCTCTGAAAACTAGTCTAATCAGCCAACACCAGGTCGCCTTCAAAAATGGTCATAGTACCATGGATGCCCTTCTTTACTTCGATCATAACGCTTCGATTGCACTATCTACGAAAAACAATATCTCAGTCTTAAGCCTAGACTTCGAAAAAGCTTTTGGTCGAGTAGGGGTGCACGTAGTATTAGAACGGCTAACAAAATGGAAGGTCGGGAAAAAAAATTTTTAATTTCATTAAAGAATTTTTAGCCAACCGAAGACTAAGAGCCAAAACTAACAACATATATTCTAAGATTTTTAATTTTACTAACGACATCCCACAAGGATCGCCCCTTTCTGTAACGCTGCTATCAGTAACATTTTGAATGAGTATAATCATATTGATCATATAGTGTATGCTGATGATGTTCTTATATTTACTAAGATAAAAGATTTAAATATTGTAAAAAACCACTTTTCCGAGATCCTCTCCGATATCTCAGACTGGTCTGAACTATCAGGAGCCCAATTATCTTTCAAAAAGTGTAAGATATTCCACATGTGCAAAAAACTCAGTTGTAACAGTATAAGYTTTAGTTTCAATAATACAAAAGTCTACTGTCGATAGACTTAAAATACTTGGTGTATTCTTTGATAGAAAACACACTTTTAAAGTGCACTGTAACTATATTAGAAACTGTTTAATTTCTCGTTTGAATATTGTAAAGTATCTATCATCCAAACATAGTTTAATTCATAGTACCACCCTCGTAAACATCACTAAATCTATTATATTATCAAAAATTTACTACGGTCTTGCAGTTTACGGTAATTGTGGCAAAAGTAACATCAAGCTTATATCCGGTCCCTATCATATGGCAATTCGCAGAAGTCTTCGTGAGTTTCCGACGTCACCTACAAGTTCCTTGCTTACAGAAGCCGGTGTTCCTTCAATCGAGGAGAGGGTATTACAAAACTACGTCCGACTTTTTCCTAAACTGCTAAACTGTAAGAACAAAATTTTGCACGGAACTATAAAAAAGGCAGTCAAAATCGGGGATAATGAGATGTTTGAATCTAGCAAAAGAAATTGATCTCACTACTCACCTTCAATTAGCTACAAACAGAGCATCGCCGCCATGGATCTTGAGTAAATCTTCCTTTGTTACTAACCTTATGCAATACCCGAGGAGCTCAACTAACGCATCTACCTACCACCAACTTTTCTATGAAGCAACTCGTCCACTTGTATCAAGATCGTGGACATGTTTATATACAGATGGTTCAAAAACGGAACATGCAACAGCTTTTGCAGTGGTAAAAGAAGACGGTTCTACCATATATTCCAGAATACTTCACCCCTGCAGCTCAGTATTCTCTGCAGAAGCGTCAGCAATTCTTGAAGCAGTGTCATACGCAGTAAAAAGCAACCACAAATACCTAATTTATACAGATAGCAAGTCGGTAGTCTCAGCCATTCAAAATGTAAATAATCACAACATAATTATTTCAACTACAAGAGATCTGTTAATCAAAAAGGAGCACCAAATTAAAATAATGTGGGTACCAGGCCACATCGGGTTACCTGGTAACAAAGAAGCAGATGCCAGAGCCAGACTAGCCACGAAAGAACCTCTACACTTATACCCTTTTTTAGATAAGTCGGACATACTCCGCTTAGGTCTAGATTTCGTCAAAGTAATGAAAGGCACATTACAACCTCAGAATCACTATTACGTGACCATCAATCCAGCAAGTGTTAAACCAACCTTTCCTTTTACATGCTCATACCACGATGCCCAAACTTTCACCCATCTTCGCATCGGACACAGAGTTTCGACACACGAACACCTCCACAGACTCACCACTTTTGGCACAATAGATCCAAAACAATTACTAAAACATACCAATGCTGCTAACATTAGACTTATAAATCAAGTTTTATTAAAATGTAAAATTCAACATCTTATATAATTTAAATAGCAACATGTATGAGTATACTTCACCCTAATTCAATTATCACTATTAAGTATAAATAATTTTAAAAATAACTATATTGTAAAGAATTAGGTAAGCCGGAAGCCTCAGTAGCTAGTTCTTCTTTCCAATCAAAATGTAAAATAATAATTGTATTACTATTTCACATCTAATAATAATAATAATAAATTGAAAAAAGAAACGAAAACTTTAGTTACCAATCCAATTTCAAAATTTATAAAATAAGCAATTCTTGCACATTTTATGCTTTTTGTAATTTATTTTCAAGTTTTAATATGAAAAACACTGAGGGGTGTTGTGGAATCTTATAGTTGTCGGAATCAGAATTGAATCCGATCAAAATCAGTAGTTGTCATGAATTCAGACATTATTGGTTTGATAATCGAAACAGAATTTGTATCGTTTTTGGGTGTAACGGAAACCAATTTTATCGGTTTTGCTGTCAGAAACAAAGCAAGAAGATAGTGGCACACAGATTTCAAATGTAAGTTAATAAATTATGTTGTTTTATTGTTGCGAAATGATTTATCTTTACTACTATAGAAGAAAACATAAGAATAAAGGAAAGCAATTGCCCGATGCATCTCGCGTGTATTTGTCGGACGGCGGGAAGGATGCAAGTTGCAATTTCTATCGGAAACGAAAAATTCAAAAAATTCATATATGTTAATAACTTTTGTATGTATGTTCAAGTTACACTAAGAAATCTAAAAAAAAAATTGTTTAATTCTAAAAAAATTTAAATTAAAAAAAAATGGTTGTTTGACCACACAAATGTTTCTTTATGTTGTTTAAACATATGTTCAAACTTAACTTTTCTTAGTTTTTTTTTTTTTTTGGTTTAAATAGAAGATTAAATAGATTCATTAATTGAATGCCAAAGATAATAAACTTTGCCCCGATTCCATACGTTTAGTTTTTTTTAATCCCTCCCGCCAATTAAGAAAAATCGTAAAAATTAAAAACCGAGTTAAAGTTTTCGCTTTTTGCCCAAGCGCTCATATATCTGCCGGACGCTCGGTCACTATTTCCCTTCTACGGGGTGGCTGATGAAAGCCGCTACCAAAAAACTTTTTTCTATATAATGAATCTGGTTAATTTTTTTTTATTTTGCAGATTGACTTTTACATTTAACAAAAATAGATAACTGGGACACTGAAACAAGTATTTGGATTGTCCGCCGCTATCGCGCACTGGAGTCTGTAGTTTCGGTTCAAAGAGAGTATAGGCGCAGGTTTGGCGTCAATCCTCCGAGCACATGGACCATACTGAGACTTGTAAACAATTTTGCCGAGCATGGGACAGTCAACAGAAGACCTTACCATCGAAACCCTTCAGCTCGAACGGAGGAAAAATTGCTGCTGTAGCTGCTGCCATACAAAACAATCCACGTGTTTCGACAAGAAGCTTATCTGCTCAAATGGGTGTAAGCAGACAGTCATTACAGTCAATTATGCGCAAAGATTTGGACTTATTCCCATATAAAATTCAAATGGCCAACAAACTGAACGCTGCAAACTTACCGATTCGCTTGGAATTTCGCCAGAAGATTCTTCAAATGGTGGAAGAGGATGGAAACATGTTGAACTGTCTTTTCATGTCTGACGAGGCCCATTTCGATTTAAACGGCACCATAAACAAACAAAATTGTCGAATATGGAGTGCCTCCAACCCACAGATACTCCATGAGACGGAATTGCATCCACTTCGTGTCACAGTGTGGTGGTTATTTGAGTTTCTTAATGTAGCAAAATTCATCAGCCACCTTGTATCTTCGACAATATTTCGAATTCCCATCTATATTTTTAGATTTTAGTAAAAAAAAAAAAATTTTAAAAGCTTCTAAAGCAGGCTTTCCCCTTAAAGAGGATTTACAAAACGTAACTTAACACCCAAATGCGTTCATTCGATAAATGTTATCTCTTAAAATCTTTCTTTAATTCGTCACTCATTAAAAACTTTAATAGGATTGGTTCCAAATGTATTATTTTGCAAGTTTTGTCACATTAGTAAACAGCTGGTTCGAATATTGGTTTTGTGTAAAATTCTTACCAGATAAGCGGTTGCCACTAAAATCATCAATTGCGGTACTTTGATAACGGTACTTTCCGAACATATACAAAAAAAAATTATATTCAATTAAGCGAAAAAGTATAGTGTTTTAAACAACGCTGGCTGTTTTGATAACTTATTTTTTCCACCTACTGTATCTACCTTGTAAAAAAAGATTTGGGTGTACTAATAAGAGCGTAAAGCACGGTGAAAAATTTAAAAGTTTTCAAGGCGTGGATTTGACCCACTACTAAAAATAGAAAAGAATATGAATGTATTTGCATACTGGCCAAGCCATTTTTGACTTGAGGATGTAAACTGAACCAAACATTGTATATCTAACTATTGTATTTCACAATAAGAAACTGAGCTAAATCTCTTACATAGCTGTAATTGCTTCCAAATATGTATGTGCATTTGCAACTTGTGTCACATTAGCACACAGCTGATTCCGATATTGGGTTCGCGTATGTTTGAAAAGACGAAAATCCAATCGGATCCTGTGATACCATAATTGGTTTAAAATTCTGACAATTAAGCACATCTGAGTATGTAAACATTAAATTCACAAGAACTGTAGCACTACCCCGTAGAGGCCCCGTAAACAAAAGATGAAAATGCAACTGTATTATTTTTTGCATACAAGTGCAAAGCTAATTATTTCATATTCATTACAAATATAATTTTTTAAATTCAAGTTATTTTATTTATCATAGTTTATTATATTTATTATTTATATTTAACAAACGCAGGCCGAAAAACATATGCATAGAAGAGTGAAAATCCGTTAAACTCAATCGAGAACTACGTACGGTAGTACAGTAAGCAATTCATCATTGTAGGAACGCAATTGTAGAACTTGATGCCACTCTTTAAATTGTTGAGTCCGGGCATAATTATTCCCATCTTCCTCATCTGCATCCTCGTCCACAACGCGCAGACTTGTGCAACCAAGATGTCTGACATCGTCATTAAATTGTTGTTTTGTATTAATATTTAAAGCAGCATCAGTATTAAGATTGGAATCGTCATGAATGTTTAAATAATTTTGCTCTTTAAATTCATTACCATTACCGGGTTGTTTACTAAGATTAATTTGAGTTTTTAAACAAGGATCTTTAATATAGTTACTAATTAAATTAATGTTATTACTGTTTTTATTATAAATGTTATTATAATCATCACAATTTTTATTTGCGAGCATTTGCTCTTGTTGTTTTTCTGCAACAGTAGCACGACCATCGTAACAAATATTGTTAAAAGAGTACAATAGTCCGTTGTTTTCTAAAGGCAATTCTTCGTTGACATTATCTTCTATATTACTACCAGTAGAATCAGTAAACGCAAGAAGACTATTCGCCTTCGAGATAGCAGTATTTACAGACAGCATAAATTCATCGTTGTCTGCACCGTCCTCTTCATCTACAATTTTAACTCCATGAATATTGCCTCCTTTAATACCGGTATTATTTTTGACATTCAGGGCATCAGCCGAGACATTATCGGCCATTACGCCGCAGACTTCACTTATAACTACATTTTCTGTTGACAAATCGCATGAGGAGCAACTGGAATAAATTGTAAAAGGTGATGCCGACAGACTACAATTTCGCTGATGTTCGTATGATTCTCTTTTAAGTGATTCTAATTGAATGCCAATTTCAGAATTAGCGGTGCCATTAGACTTTACATCGGCATCAAAACTTATGTTATCTTCTAAGTCGTTACAATGATCATATTCGCTATCATTGGCACAGCTTGAGCTACAGCTGCTGAAATTTAGAATACTTTGCTTAATCCCTGCTGCATCAGATATAATAAGTTCATGAGAGAAAAATAGGTCACGATGAAGTTTTACATCTTGCAAACAATCTAAAGCTTCCTTTGTATTCTTCTTAATCTTACGTCTTCTGTGTTGTTTCCGTTTTTTTAAACATATATTCTTAGTTATTGGTGCAGAAGGGCTATTTTCTGGGTCTTCAAACATCTTAATACCACCGCATTTTTGTATAATCGACGTTGGAATAGTTGGATGTGTGTCTACCGGAACCTCGGATTGAAGTTGTGGACGAATTTCTTCAATTGACGATACATCAGTTGTTTCTAAAACTTCTGATGTTAATCGATTATTTATACCTTCGCAAACCTCTAGCTCTTTGACAATAAGCTCATGCATGTCTAAACCTCTGTTATTATTTTTAGTTTGTACAAAAGTTGTATTGGATATAATGGGTGATATTGTTATAGCTGATGCGCGAGAACCGTACGTATTACTGCTAGCGAAAGTTGGAGAAATGGCAGAAAGAGAATTTGAGGGAGAATTAGTTTTACTAGGAGTTTTTTTAATAGTTAGTACTATATGGTTATTGCCAGTTGAAGGCGCCGATATATCCCGTGTGACAACTTCGTGAAAATCACCACTATAATCATCAATGTCTTCATATTCATCGAACTCTACATCACCATCAACATCTAGGTCTTCACAACAATCGTACTCCATTTCTTGTTCATCACTACAGTTGTTTTCAACTGAATTCGCAATAATCTCGTCATAGCCACTTCCTAAATTACACTGATTGTATGTCGAAATGTGGCTGCCTGGACTAGTTATTGACGCAAATTCTTCATTTTTGGCAGTAACCTTCTGTGCACTTTTATTTCGAACCTCAATGGGAGTTCCTTCATTCCCATCGCCGTTACCTTCTATAGGTGATTCCTCATTGTCTTCATCACTGCTATTATTGCTGCTCCCACCTGAGAATTGCATTTGAGTTGCTACTTTACCGTTTATTGCAATTTTTATCCGTTTGATTCTTGGTCGTTTATTTTTCTGACTAGCGCTGCCAACGTTAACATTATCAGCTACTGATCTTGGTATAATTCTTCTGCGTTTACTTCTCCTTTCGGTGTTTACGTGCAAAATCCTTTGATCCTTAAACTGACGTTTCAATTTGAAGCTAATCGACTGTTGGGTTTGTTTCAAAGTTGAGTTACTACAGCTGCTGCTGTGTCGACTATATGCATTTTTATCATTGGTTGCATTTTTTGCTTTTTCTGCGGTGTCCATAGGCAGCATCGCGTTAGGGAATAAACTGCCTTCTAATTTGCAACTAGAATCACTAATTGTTACGACTGTGGAGTTGATATTATTATATTCCCGTAGTTGTTTTGAAATTTGTTTTGGTTCTATGTCACTGTACACATTCAATGGCGTTTTCGTTCCTATGTTCGAGCTATAATCTAAATGATCAGCAATAGCAAGTAGATTTTGCCCATTCCGATCACTCCCATTTAACTCATTTGAATCTGTCAGAAATAGGTCAGTGTCGTGACCGACTACATCAATAGTTATGTCTTTAAGCATGACATTGTTATTGTTATTTTTGCTTACAATAGCACCAGCTGCTACGTCGAAACTTTTTGTCAAACTAAGCACTGCATCATTTAACTGGTCGCAAATATGTGTTAAACCTTCAGATTCCTTTAACTTAGCGTCATCTGCCAGATTATAATTTCCCGATGCCGTTTGACTGTTTTCTGTATTGATGCTGATACAAATTCCGTGTTCATCAGTCTTGTACTCTTCAATTCTTTCATTATCGTCAAACTGTTCCACCGCACAGCCATCATTTCGAGACGCAAGTTTGGTTGATTCAGTGCCAGTTACTTTACGGCATATTTTACGTTTGTCCGATTTATGTTTAAATTTATTTAATAACACTGAACGAGCTACACCTAAAAATGGTATAGTAAACATTTTTGGAGTCGTTGCTGCCTTTTTAGGACTGGAGGTTTCAAAGAAATGTATATGGCTTAAATCTTTAGGTATGCGTTCCGTTGCAAGAACACCGTACTTTGGTACAACATTGCTACCATCTGTTACTACATAAATATGTTCGACGTCGACTGCTGTGGTAACATCATTCAGTGCCAAGTTCAGCGCAATATTATAATTAGCATCATCCCAATTACCATTAACATTCGGTATGAAGCAATTATGTAAGGCATCGATGTGAAATTGTGTAATTCTTTGGGTTTGTAAGTCAAAACGTTGCATTGCCACACACTTGGGATCCTCTACTACTTCATACGTAGGAAGGATAGGCATAGGTTTTTCGTCATTCAGTTGAGTGTGTTCAACAACGGGCACTTTAAAATTGAGTAATTGTGACTGTTGGAAATCGCTATCCTTTGTTTCAATAATTTCTGGTTCTGGTTCGGCTTCTGCAATGCTTTCCTGTTCTTTTTTCAAACTAGCAGCAGCGGCTTCCGCTTTTATTTTAGGCAGTGGATCCTCATCTTCATCAAAATCAAGATCAAATATTGATTTCTTAGGTTTCGGTTTCGGAACAGTTGGTGGCAATGGAGAATTCGGTGACATAGGCTTTAAAACGTACTCATCGGATTTAAAAGTATTGCCAGCATTAGCTTCAATCTTAATAGCAAATTTATCCACGTCCTCGCTTAGAAAGCTTTCATGATAGTTCGGTGTCTGTTCATTTTGTTTTGTGGGCTCTCCTCCTTTCACCTCGTCAGAGTCGTTATTAGTTTGAGATGTTTCAATTACTTTACAAGTACATGGTACTAACTCTGCTGTGCACTGTAATTCAATGGCTTTGGAAAGTGTTACAGGTGGCAATTTCTTTAAGATCTCAATCAACTGTTTTTCAATTACAACAATTTGGTTTCCGGTATCACTATACTTATTACTCTCAATTAGAGGATTTGTATTAATTTTCGCTTCAGGCTGTTGTTGAATATTACTATTACTGTCGAAGGATAGTGAGCGCTTTAGATGTTTAGGGGCTGCAGAGCTATCCCGAGAGGGTTCTGAAGTGCCTGTATCGCTAGTAGTCTCACATTCACCTTAAAAAATATAAATTTTGAGTATTATGGAATAGGAATTACTCATTCTTGAACTTACCTGCATGCATATTAGTCATATTTTCTGGTGTAGAACGCGTAGCCATGGTGGACATGGTGGCATTGGTGGAACAGGCATCAAAAGTATGCGGTGATTGTAAGGAGGGTTCTACAATATAATGAGATGTTAACTTGTGCAAAAACAAGTATGTTTTGTGAATTTAAATGTCTTTATTCTCATGGTACATAAGGTATAGAATTGAAGTAATGTTGAATATAATTTACACGGACATGTAAAAAAAAAACAGTAGAATATCGGCGTCCCCATAACATCAAATCACAAAATACAGGTTCATTTGTAGAAAATACTGTTGATCAGGTTTATTATCTCAATGGATAATTTTGTATTTTTTTATGCGAAAGTATTTACTACTTTCTCTCGTGTTCCAAATTGCAAACGGAAAGTTTCAGTAATTTTGATATTATGAAGGTCTGAATTTCAAAACGTGAATTGTAGGGAAAAGCCTTTAAAAGGTTGAAGAGTAAAAGTGGCTGTATATCCTTTTTACGCAGCCAAATCAATTTAATACATGTGGCTTGCCAACACCAGTCTGTATTGAAGAGTAAAAGTGACTGTATAGCCTTTTTGCACAGCCAAATCAATTTAATACATTAAAATTCAAGGATGATCCACTTCCAGGTTTCTTACTTTTTTAAGCACACATAAACTTAAAATTTAATATGAAACTTAAAATAAAATGAGGAATGTTTACTTTCATTCGAAAGAACATTTTTTTGTTTTATTTTTTGAAGATTCTCTTATCTTTACAGAACGTGAATTTTCGTAATAAAGTTGAAGAATTTGTAAACGTTGTTCAGGTGAAATGCCAAACAATACTAAACAAAAACAACATGACAGCTTGAATATCACCAACTACGACAAGACAAAAACCACGGCAAACAACAAAGCACGATATAGCACCGGTGCAGGAAAGGATGACCTATCACCGGAGGAGCGTGCATTGTTTCAGGAGCATGCCAGGGATGATGATGACGACAGGCACCTATGCAGCGATGCTCAGCAGGCGACATCCACTGCGGCCGCTGCTGTTGAAACGAACACCACCAAAAATCCCTAAGCAGGTTCAGCTTCTCGGATTCGAGACAAACGCAACAGGCCTGTAAAGCGGAGCGAGGATATGAACGATGAACTAGCGTAAAGTGTTACCGGAGGCACCTCTAGGAGGGAATAACTCTTGAATAGTTTGCGCGCAACAGGGTAAGAGGAAGCAGTGCCTTCCCAGGAACTGATGTCCGGTTAACGCAATCTTGACCGTTAGGCATGCAAGCGAAAAGGCAGGGCTCCCCACCACTCAGACCGCAAAACGGGAATAACGCCACAAGAACTCCAAAAGCCAAAAGCACAATTATACACAGATGGCTGGAAGTTAATTTTCGCAACGAATACCCTTCGTATACCCTAAAAGGCATACAGATGGCTGTGCTGCTTTTCAACTACCCTTCGGAGACCTTAGGGAGGAGTTTACTGCTTTTCAATATCTTCTTACAGAATAGGTATATAAAGTATGGGTACCCAGCATCCTTCTATGGGGTGTAGTTTAAGGAAGATCACTCTCAAGCTGGTAGGCTGGAAGGGTTCCGTGCTATGCGCGAAAAAATAAGAGGACATTCCCCAATGTATAGCATAAAAGTGTTCCTCCTCATATTAGCAGGCAAGCCTTATGAGTTATCTCTCTTGTTCGTCAGAAAAAAAATGAGAGAATTAACACCTCGGTCTGACGAAAACCATGAGCCATACAAACCTATGCGGAAGGAGGGTATGCGCCTGAACTCCAGAGGTTCAGCTCAGTGGTCATAAGAATACCCAAGACTCTTTTGATAGCGGAACTAGTGGTGGATGTGGAATTTACTCGCTCTGGCGGCAGTACGGCCAAGCAGGCTGCCACTGCTGAGGCATGAGTGGTATGAGTCCGTAGGGAGGAACTGGGCGCACAAAGAAGGGTGTTGCTCTCCACGCAGGAGCTTCAGAAGACAGAAACCTGGATGATAACGCGTAGGACGGCGAAGATGAGGACCAGACCTGGTTTTAGGTTAACCAATTCTAAACTTAAAAGTTACGCAGGTGAATCTGCGTAAGACGGCGTCAGTATCGGCTCTCATCGCAAGCAGGTTCATATCGGATAACTTGGGCAACTTGCTGAAACAACAATAAAGGATACAGAGACTTGCGTAGAAGTTAGGAACAATATTGATTCCTTTTGAATTTCACAGTTCCGTCTAGAGCATTACGGTTCAACTTTGTTTCATTGGAAAAAATTATCTAAGACCAGCGTTTTAAAAGATATGCTACTCCCGTAGCATTCCATTTTGTTAGGTTCAAGGAGGGGAGCTACCCTCCACGCAGGAAGTCCTCGAAGGGCTAGGAGACCCGATTGATGGCAGTGCGTAATCCGCGTTCAGGATTTGCCCCTCATAAAACCGATTCTATAGTGGCCGTCAACGAGGAAGTCGCCCAAGTGAACCTGCACTACGCGGCGGCACACTTGGCTGCCATAGCGAGTAGGTTCACTTCGGATAAACTAGGAATCCTGTTGATCCAAGAGCCTTGGGATTACAGAGGGGAGGTTAGAGGACTCAAGACAGATTTCATCTCTCCTAGAACTTGTGTAGTAGTCACGAACTATATTGGCTTCTTTTGAATTTGAGAGTTCCTGACGCAGGATCTGGTGACGGTGCAAGCCATCATAGACGCGTATCACTGCAGCTGCCCCCTAAAGGCGACTACAGGCAGGCCTAACTGTCCCTGGTGGTCAAGAAAACTCTCAGATCTCAGGAAATAGTCAAGGAGGCTGTTTAGCAAAGCGAAAAAAGGTTAGGTCAACCACAGCAAGTTTAAATTTGCAAATAACCTCCCTAGGGAGGTCCCGCCACTGGTCGTATTTTACACCGGGCACTGCAAACTGAATAAGTATTTACATAACATGGTCTTATCATCTTGCGTAAACTGCCGGTTCTGCGAAAGGAACACCTGCTAATCGACTGCACAGCAGTCTGTAGATGCAGGCTTAAAGCCCTTGGATCCAGGTTACCGAATACCCAGCAGAATATTGGACTTTATCAATATGCTGGGGCTATGTGAGTTCTTGGGATTTAGGAGAGGGCACAATAGACTTAAGGTTGCGGTGCATTCCTCATTTATTAATCTAATCTAATCTAATACCGCTCCCAATTTTTTGCAAGAACAGAGCACAACACTTAACACACTTTTGCTACAGCTTTAGTTTTTTACCTAACAAAGCTCCGAGCGGAGCAGAGGATACTTTTACAATGTTCTGCTACGGGCCCTACGGTAGCTATAGCATAGCAATAATTCTAGAAATTTTGCTGCTACACAGTAAATGGAAACACTGCCTAAGACCATCTACTTTGCCGCAGTCGTATTATACAAAAATTAATTATTAGCTGAAACAGCTGTTTAAATTTTGTTCTCTTTTCACTTTCCGTATTAACGTTCTTTCTCTTTATCGTTAAGTATGTTTTTGAGCGGTATTCTCCGAAATATAAAATCCTCATAGCAATAAAACAAAGTACTATATATATTATAATAAAAATAGGTATTCCCTTATGAGTAAGTTAAGTAAGTTTAGCATTAATTACTGAAATTGAATAGATCACAATCAAAATTGTCTTTGACTATTAATTTATATTAACCTTAGAATCGTGACATAGCTGTACAACTTAATCTCGAGACTTGGGAACTCAGTGCCCAGTAATGTATTTTCTATGGAAATTTAGACTTTTAAGACGTTTTTTTTATGGAAAAGCCAAAATGTCGCCTGTTTATGTAAATAATTTAATAAAACTTGGGATTATTGCTAGAAACAAATGTATTTTTATTGAAAACTGTGAAAATCAAATAAAGTTTTAATTTCGAACTGCTCAAATGGGTGAAATTCTTCTCTGTCTTTTTGATATATTTTGATTGGGTGTAGACGTTGTTAGAGTATTGTCAACATCTTCATCATTGTCTGAGTCCGTGTCAGCTTCAGCACTGTATTTTTCAAAATAGCACTTTTCACACGTCCTTATATAGTGTTTGGTGCATGTCGGAATAAGGCAATGGTCACAAACTGCTGTTGTYTTATTATCGATCTTATTAGTTTTGCAGCTTTCACACCGCCGTTTCAAAGTGTTGACCTGTGTCAAGAAAGAAAATAGTGAATAAATTTGAAAGTGAACTAATTTTGAAATAAAATGAATTATGAAACCTTACCTGTATTGATGGACGCGAGCTCACCACTGCAGGAAACGGTTTGAAATTGATCAAGTCCATTGCAATTTYAGCTGTAGTTAGTTTTTGTTTTGCATCGGTTTTGTAATTGCTTCTGCGCTAGCTCCATAGAGAGTTCTTTCAAAAATATCTTACGCTTTTCAGACTTATTGGTGTTCCACATAGGGTGACTAAGATCAGTCTGAACACTTCAAGCATATTATAAAATAATGCCATGGGCCAGCAGTTGGTTTTTCTTTTGCCAGAAAATCCACGTAGCATTTTGTCAAAAGTATCAACGTCACCTTTACGCTCATTATAATCATGTGTGACTAGTGGTTTTTTGTTATAAGATTTACATCTTTGCTGGCATGAGCAGTTGAAAGCACTAGCACATTTTTCTTCGAATGTGTTGTAAAGCTTACTAATTGCATTGATTTTGAGAAACAAAACACATATTCAAATACACCTCTCTTTTTTTGCTTCTTCAGAGGATGTAAATAGTTTTGGCAATTGTGGCTTATTGGCTCGTATTGTGCCCACCAACGTAGTATTCCGCACAATCAAATCTTCCGCCAATTCATAACTTGTGAAAAAGTTGTCCATTGTTATATTCGCACCCCTATCCAAATATTGATTATTGAGTCGCATAACAAGATTGCGCGCAATACCAAGCGACCGCTGTTCATTAGGCTGTGTCCCGAAATATACT